TGAAATAATTTAAAACTGGTGAAAGTGTGCTAGTGTTTCTTCAGTGCTGAACCATCAGTTATTAGAATAAGTCATTCTGTGTACTCGATGAATTGGAGTCCATTTTTTTTTCAGCACAGAAATTCAGCTGAGCATAGCTCTGTTACAGAAATCAACCATCATTTCACATTATTTTCCTATTCATTCAAACTTCCTCTTTGTAAAAGGAAGTTTTTAAGAAATAAATTTATCTATTTTCAGCAGGTCCTTTATGAAAAGGTCATTTTTAATAAATAAGAAAAAAGTTAAATAAGGTATTACACACAGGTCTAGTCAAGAGCATTTTGCACTAGCCAAGAAGACGCTGAAACTGGCTGTGTTGTGTTGCCCTCTTCAGGTCAACAGCACTTACATTTTCCAGTTCTTTTGCTTGATGAGTCATTGCATTTCAACTTCTTTCATAAAAATTTTCAGATTTGCAGTTTCAAGTAGCAGCTAACTTTACCTCTATCCCACCAGTGCTTGAAGTATTTTTGATCTAAAATCCTACAGAAATAAACTTTACTTTTGGCCTCTATGTCTCCCTAACTTTAACACTAATCTTGAGAATTATCAAAAAATCAGCTAGTGTTTGAAAAAATTACTAAAAAAACAACTTCAGCACTGGTAAACAAGCCTCATGACAACAAGCTTAAAGAGCTCAGTTGATTCAGCTTACCAAAGAAAACTGAAGCTGCTGAAATCACTCCATAAGTGAACTTGGAGGTTAGAAAGTCAGATGACTTTAAAGTGGTGTAAGGCAAAACAGAATCTAGAAACTACCGTTGAAGTCAGACAAATTCAGCCTTGAAATGCAATGAAGGCTTTTCACCCCAAAACAAAAAAAAGATTGTAATAACCTACTAGCATAAAAGGATGGATTCATTATTACTTGAAAACTTTACAGGTGGACCTTCTTCCCAAACAATCTGTTTTGATCAGTTTTTGAGTAGTTGTCATAGCATGAGCCAAATTGTGATGCTGATTTGCATACTTGTAATGGGTTTTGCAATTGATTATCCGAGCTCTGCCAATTAATGTGGAAATACAAATAAAACAGTCTTCCATTGCTTGGGAAAGGGCCATGCTTGGGCTTCTCATTCATTTATAAGCCAGATATTAATAATGTCTTTGAATATTTCATTTCCCCCTCCCACCTTGCTATTTTTAGAGGACGGGTCATGGTAGACATTTACATCTATTTAGACATCTCAGTGCTGCAACTTTGACAGAAAGAGCAAATTGTTAGATTTAACCAATGTATTATCAAGTATGGATTATCTCAGTCACATTGTTAAGGCAGACAAACATCATAACAATTTGTGACTGTATGATTTAATCACGACATCTTAAGGGACTTAGGATAGCAAAAACCTGTTTAAAGCTAAGGCCTACTATGTAACTAGGCAATAAAATTAATAACCTAACCAAAACCCTTAAAAAATAGAGGCAAAGGAAATGCTCATTCTAGTACCATGGCATGTCCCAGAACCCAAATAAAGGAACAAACAAACAATCCCAGATCATCACCTTTTAGGCTGGCAAACACACAACAGCCAGCCTGCCTTAAGCCAAGTGCGACTCTAGAAAAGCTCAGAAGAACTTGTCATGAATAGTTCTAATGCATTTTCTTTCACATGCTTTTGTAATTTTATTCTCAAGAATCAAATGCTATTTACAGCTTTAAATCCCATATAATCATAGGGCAGACTCCAGAGTAAAGGAGGAAGATTGACAGAGAGAGAACAAGCAAGAGCAAGTGGGTGAGCATGACATGGGGAGAGAGCAAGATACCGAAACTCAGGGATACGTGCAAACCAAGTGCACAACGACTGAGACTCAGAGTGCTCCCATCTGCAGCGTAAGACAGCAGACAGTAGTTCATCAGGGTAGTCTCTATCAGCACGTAGAAACTCCTCTCCAAGTGCCTGACTAATATGCCCTGTCACAGTGCCTGGAGCCAAAGACTGACGAAAACTTCCTGCCATCTATCAGCCATATAGTTTGTTCAATTAGAAAGTGCAAAACCAGCTGGTCTTATAAACATGGGGAAAAAGTCCTCAAGCCAAACTAGCTCTAGTACTGTACAAGAAAAGTAACACTCTTAAATGCATAATATACTCAAAACATTACTATTGTTTTCTCTCTTGCTATTGAAGAGCAAGTGAAAAAAAGCACTCTACTCAACAGTACTGTCAGACAAAAAGGCAAAAACGTTTTCGTGCAACTGTCAACTGAAGACAAAGTAGCTTATACCTCTGAAGTGATGAAGTGGGGCTTTTTTTTTTTGGTTGTGTGTAAGTAAAAGTGTCACAAAAATATAATCACTATTATTAAACTGTCTCTGGTAGAAAAAGTTTCCACCTATGTCAAAGGTTCATCTGGTGCAAGTTCCATATGCCCCATTTCAGACTATGACAGCTGGTAATAAAATCTCCAAGATCTTAGCTAACTTTTAAAATTGCAAAGGAGTGGATCCTTAGTAATACTCAGTCTTTTTCTTCATCTTCTACAGTAGATGCCAGGATTCTGGTCCAATCTTAGCTGCTACACTTAAAAAAAAGAGGTGCTGGACAAGGACTTTTAAAATTACCTGTGGTTAGTTTAGTTCTGACTTACCCAAGTACGACGTTCGTATTTTTGCCATCTCTTTCTCCCCCACACACCATCAGATTTGGATACCACATGAGGTATGATTCATATTATTCTTTAGAAATGTATTTTAATAGACAAGCTTTACAATTGAAAAGAGCCTTTGAGTTTTGAAAATATCAGGCCTTCAATGAAAAGCATGTCAGATCACTTTATTGCATGCATTTTTTCCGCAGCAACTTTTCCCAGTCACGTTTAATCGTTGCTAAGACTGATTTTTCTTAGTTGATATCCTAATCCAGTACATTTCTTTGAAGGAAAACAAATTCATCCACCTCATACTGCCAAAACACAATCTAGGCAGTTCCCTTCACAGAATTTCCTTCTAATAACTTTGGGAATGGAAGGTATGGAGACTAAGAGGAGGAACTCTCCCCACTGAAGGCAATGCCTAGTAATTCCCTGCTACCTGTGTATCCTTAAGTATCTGCAAAAACACTGTGAAAACACATCGGGAATAAATGTCCACTGTAATACAAACCCAGGCTAAATTGGCTTTCAGGTATTTATGTAGGGATATGCAAGCAACCGATTAGAATGCAAAGCTGACTTCTACCATCACTAAGGAAAATTAAATGCAATTGGGATGGGGGTTAAATACATCTTAAGAACACTTTCAAATCAGTTAATGACAGACATGCATATGCTGAAGCAAGTACTGTAAAATTATGTTAAAACTACTGGAATTAACTCCTTGCTTGGAATCAAATTATAATCTCACCCTTCCTAACGCTTTCTGAAAATTCCTCTAAATACATAGACTTTTATGATGAGCAGTAATCCGCACACAAACCAACAAACCAAATAAAGCTAGAAACACCTGCACCCACTTTTTTAAAAAAGAGGAACATTACTGAAAATATTTAGAAATATTAAGAGCAGCATTACTGAAAATAATATACACCAACCTTCTCAAAGGCTGTCTCAGCATCATCTTTATTTGTGTTTGGTCCTCTATTCTTAGTTAGATATTTGGGGTTTAAACTACCACAAGTAAGGCTTTCCAATTGAAAAGATAATGAGAATCAAGATAAGTACTACTGCCTAAAGGGATAGGTATTACTGAATTAGACTTCTTTTTTTTTTTTAAAAAAAGCTTTACTAGCATGAAATCATGTGGTATCATAGAAAATTTCCCTCATGGTTTAAAGGTCTGTACCTTATTCAGACAGCAAAACCTCCATTTCGCAAACCCATTTACGTGATTTCTATGAAAAGACTTAAAAAAAAAAAAAAAAACCAACCTATCGGAGAACAAACAACTTAGTTACCAACCAAACAAAAAGCTGTGAGTGAACTACTTTTCTTGATACATACTTTTTGATACCTACACAAACCTTGCCATCTGCTGTGATCTCTGACAAAATAACTGACTTCCGTTCTCAATCTAAGGTTTCGCTATGACAGTAAGTGTCTTATATCTAATATTAAAAGTTACTTCAGTCCCATTGCAAGATCGTATAGGTTTGTACAGTCATTAAAACCTGTTATAAAGTAGTATCAGACTATTCAGTACTATGAATAAAGGACTTTTTTGATAGTTACAGGTGCAAAACTTAAATGTAAACAGATGAAAATGTTTCAAAGACAAAACAGAGCAGAACTATTTCATTTACCGAGGGGCTACACGAATTCTGTATAAGCAAGAGCTTATACAGAATTAAGCCCTACTTAATTCCAAACTTCATTGTGACCCTAATGCTATAAAAAAAAAACTAAGGGAACACAGAAAAATTGTAAGGATTCCAAGGAATATGTCTCCAAATAAACTCCTGAGAAAAATGGAACACCAGTGTATTAAAACAGAAAAAGTATTCAAAGCTAGTTTTGGATTGTAAAGCATACAATTGGAGGACAAAGGTAAGAACTAGATGCAAGACCTAGGCCGCTACTTTCACCTTATAATGCCAACAAGAAAAGATGCTTACACAGTGTTTGAGGGAAGTGTTGCTCCTGAACTACTTGACTTAGACCTTTCAGAGGGCATTTTGCATCCAAAGCAGTCTTCATAGTTAGCAGTTATTTTTAATGACAGAATTAACTTTTTTTGAAAAAAAAAACAAAAACAACCCCAAACCCAAACATAATCTATACCAGCATATTCTCAAGTACCTCACTTACAACATAATAAACCGTAATTACCTATTAGAATAAATACAGTCTATTTTGTCTTTGCTAATTCATACAACTCAAGGGTCCAGCAAAGACGAGCATACAAAGTTTTACCATAATGTTAGAAAAGGGAACGTCTAATTTTGAAAACAGATTATGATATATGACACCTCAGTGGAAAAGTTTGGTAAAAGTGGTTTTATTTCATTGTCTCCTACCTGGTAAATTCTAAATGGGATGTATCGAAATCCACTATCTTCTGGAGGATACTCCATGAGTTTTCGATTTATTGCCCAAAACTGCTCAAATTTATCTGTGAAGGTAAAATTAGATTTTGTTAATATTAATAACATATATTCTTTTTCAGCTAAAAGAGGTAAATGAGACACAAATGGAACAACATGCAAGCTTTTCTTCCAAAAGTTTGACCTGTATGAATTTATTTTCCCCACATTTCTCTTCCCTATTTAGCCTGAAGCCAAAGGTAAGTCATCTGCGTTCTCCTATGAAAGCAGTGATGTGGCAACTTACTGAACTGAAAGGGAAAGCAACTTGAATTCATATCGTATGAATATCATAACCGTATCATAATTCACTGTTAGGGAAATATTGAGCCACAGATTATGGATTTCAGTACCTCAATTTGCAGTGCCTGTTTCTCCACTCCCTGCTGCTACTGGTTCACACTGTCTCACAGTTTGTTAAAATATCTAATTGTTCTTAACTATAGATGAACAATAGGTGTAAAGTATAGAGAAACTAAAGTAGTAGAAAAACTTCTTGAGGTCTTTACATTTGGATATGTAAATCTTAAAATAATCTGCAACAATGCATGATATAATCAGAAAATATATTGCCAGTTTCATGACACAACCTGAAAATAATAGTTTATGTTTGAAACACATTTTTGTTGTTAATATCCAAGTAACTATGTTTAGTAAAGTAGCCCAAGGCAGCACACCACCCTGTTCAGACATTACAAGAACTGTACAATTTAATGTGCTTAAAATTATCAAGGACAGCATAGGTCTAGAGCAGTAAAGGCTTTTACACATGCAAATCAATTATCCAAATCAAGCAAACAACCAATACCAAAAGTGACAGAAAGGAACATGAAGAGCTACGATGAATAAAGCTGCTGCCGGCCTTACTGGAGACAGCAGCTTTAGAAGGGGAAGAGCAAGGGATAAATTTCTTTACAGGCCCTAACTCTCCAAGACACCAAACACAGCAGACGTTTCTTCAGAAGGAAGACACAGTCTCCAATTTTCCCTCCTCGGCACACTGTTTGGCCAAATCTCAAGATGCCTGGCGGTATAACCGTTACAGAATTCAGCCCCCCTGCAGGAAGGTAAAATTCAGAAACCTAATTTGTGGAACAAAGGTTCTTCCCACTTCCAAAAATGCTGATAACAGTTAAAGCAATCACAGAAAATGAAAAGAGTTTGAGATTTGCTTCGCTCCAGCGTACAGCACAGATGCCTGTCAGTGCGCTAAAAGACATAGTTAATACATATTGCAGGGTTTATAACACACTGCTTTTCCTGACTGAATGTGACACAAGGCAGGAATTTCCAAGAAACCGTAAACAAACTCCTGCCAGGTATTCTGTAGGAGCATTTCCTGATACTTATCTCAGAAAGTGCTTCCACACCCTTGTTGCCTGATTAGCAGCAAGTGCCTCTTGACAAGCACTGGCCTGAGCTGCAGTCAGCACCGCCGTGCAGGCACCTGCCTGAGATGGGGAGCTGCCTGGACGCAGGGTGCTAGCCCCCACAGCAGGGTGCTAGCCCCCACAGCTCACCGGCTAGGAAGCTCAGCAGGTGGCAGTGAGGACCCTGGAGCTGACTGTACCCAAGCAAGCCTGCATTTGGGAGCCCCAGCCTACAGAGTCAGAGGTTTACTCTTACAACGCCTGACACAAAGAAGGACCGCATCCTCCTCACAAACTCTGCCCGTGGGAAGGCGAGGATTTACTACACTTCCCTCATCCTTGGAGACAGTGCTGAGAACAGCTTACAGCTTTCGCTACAGATTGTGTGGACAAACATCCTACAGTAGGCATTAATCGATTTATACTTCCAATTACCACTTCTGACTATAAACTCAGTTGATTAAACTATTACTTATGGTGGTACACAAAACAAAACAAGCAAGACCTATTTAAGCTAGTGAGCTTCAGCAGACTTTTAAATAAGGAATCGACATATTTGGAAGACATCCTACCTGAACAAAACTAAAACAAACATTACTTTCATTTACTTGTTTAACGCTCATATTACAGTAACTAGGGAAGTTGAGTAAACAGCTTACTGTCTTCAAAACTCAAGAGAGATGAGCAACACATCTTACGGATCAGAAGAACAAGAAATTCTGAACAAGTAACAGACTTATCGTAGGAGCTTAAGTATATTGTCCCTTGTGGCATATATGGCAAACAAGTGAATCTTTGAAGGACAAAAAAAGATAAACAGTGGTAATGTACAGTTAACTCACTTCTGTTCTTCATTCCAGCTTCCTCACTTCCCATAAATGATGCAGGTAATCTTATTTAAGGCAGGTAAATTTACAAATTTATACTTCTCAGATTATTCTCTGAACACTCAGACAATGCTCAAGACAGTCTATTGTTTTATCAAGATTTTTAGGTTTCTAATGGTTTCTGTAGTTTCTAAATATAACAGCAATAAATCTGCAACAGTTGAATGACGAACCTGTTGGATTTTGTAACCAAGTATGTTCTGTCAATCCACCTGATATCTCAGGGAATGAAAAACTTTCTAGTAAATTAGCTAGACATAATGGAGTCAGATATCTTAAGACACGTCCACTGTGTGTACAGCACTATCTGAAGACATCAAAGCTAATTCATCCTCATCATCTTACAATGCTGTCCTCCAAACATCTTTCCCTGAATACAGTATTTTTACTACAGGAAACTGAGTTCAGTGTAAGAAAATTAACAGAAATTTTTAAAGCAAGCAGCAGGAAAAGGCTATCTAGTTTGCATACTGATAAATATGACCTGGCAAGAGCTTTTATTAGCATCAGGAGCATTGGTTGAGTGCCAGAATCTTAAAGCTCCAAAATACAATATCCAAAAATAACTGCTTTCACAGAATCCTTAAGACTCAAAGCTTCAAACAAACAAAACACCAACACCCCCCACCCCCAATCCCCTTGAAAATATAAGCGAAAGAATTAATCATTCTCCCATTTTTGTGTGTCGGTACCTCCTATTTATGCGAAATGGCCTTAAGGAAGCTATTAACGCTACGAGGAGCTATAAGAACTAACAAGTGCTTTGGCTAGACAGGACTTACAGACAGAAGGTGCTGGCCGGAAGTTTGACAATCAAAACAAAACTGAGCTTTCATCAAGCCAGTAAACAAGGAAGAGTTCTCTACCTATCAGCAAAAGCACTTTACACACTCATCTCCCTCCCTCGTGAAAACCTTATGCAGTCTACATGATACCTAAACTCCTGTAACAGTCAAATCTGGTTACTTTTGTTTTCCACAATCCATCTGTTTTTAAGAAAGTGCTTGACCAATGTGTTAAAGAGTTTCTGTATGAGCAAAAAACAGTACTTGCAAAAGTCAGATGTTCATATCTGAACAACAATATTTAAATTAATGGCAATAAGATTTGAACAGAAGCGAGATTAGTGACAGTATAAAAGTTTCAAATGACTCTACTAATCATATTTCTTAAACAACAGAGGATGGTTGCTATATAACTTTGCCTAAAGTGAAATATAAAAACTTTTCTCCCTGTATTTTATGTCAAAGACCAGAAAGTTAATAACCAAATAATGGAGGAGAGATGCAGTTGGAAAAAAAAAATAATAAAAAAAAAAAATCTATCTGCTAAGTCACTTATATTTATAAATATCCATTTATTAGAAATGTAGTCACTGCATGCCCAAACACCAGACAGACATTATTAGCCTTGAGTACTACAGAGATGCACAGAATCTAAAGACAGCCTTGAAAATACATATTTACACATATAGAAATAGTAGAAGTTGGAAAAATTACAAGGACTTAGTGTCATGCATAACAATAATCTCAGTACAAAAATTAAGCAACAAATAACATAACATAAGCAACAAATAGCATAACAATAATCTCAGTACAAAAATTTAAGCAACAAATTAAACCTCAAACATAAATTAACAAATAGAGCGTGCCACATTATGCATTTAATGTTCAGGAATCTATCCCTGAAGCTGTTCATGCTTTTAAAGCGTCCTTTAAAACAGTTTAAAAAAAGACTGTTACAGGGAAACACTTGGAGAATGTCATTTCCTCCATTAAGCAAGACTGGAGATCCTTTAGCAATCGTTGAAATTAATCCAAGTTTATAACTGTTACATTAAAAAGTTGTTAGTAACTCCAGTCATAGCTTGTTGTTAATAGACAGTAACTGTTGAACCTTTTAATATTACGCAGTTTTAACTATGGATTAGTCCAAGCTGAAATTTTCAAGGCTGGGCCTCTTTCTCAGGTTGAGACCTGGGGGCAATGTTCTTCAGACAACCAGAAAAATTAGTTTCATTCATGCTAGCGTCTTACAGTCATTCTCTGAAACTCAAGTGCTGTCACGCTTCAAACAACTTGACATTTCACATGGATCTTGATGTTAGATGCCTCTCTTCCACCCACCTGACTCTACGAAAATGGTAACCAGGATGGATCAGAGGGTAAAGGGCACTGCTCAAGTGCTTGCAATCAACATATGCATTTCAATGCAGCATAGCTTTAAATCAGCATACACAAAGAATATGGACAATTATCACAGAATGAGAAATTATATCTACAAGTAACTTGCAGTAAGACACAGTGGTCACAGCATGTGGCCAGTTAAAATGGAGTTCCCACTGTAGCACAGTGGGCAAAAGAACTAAAAAAATCCACCTTTAAACTTATCAACAGAAATATCTTAATAATAAGGAAATATTTTGTTTCTGTATTTGACACTGATGCAACTGCTATCAGAGTACTGACTCCAGAACTGAATGTATTTTAAGAAGACTGTGGAGAGGGTTTAAAAAACAAAGAATTGATCCAAAACCAAGGTAAAGATTCTTTAAATTCAAAAAGGAAATGGCAATTCATGGCTTTTATCTTCCAATATCTTTTTAGAAAGTCAAAAAAGTGAACAGACAAGTGTAGCCCTCAGAGTAGCCACAATTTCCTGTCTGGGCTATTCATGGTTTCTTCTTAAAGCCATCTAGTTGTATAAATTTTTTAAAAAGTGTTTGGAACTGAATTGTATCCCTAGCTCTATGGAAGCAACACCAGTTTGCAG